ACTCCCACAAAGGACTTTGATGCGCTTGTTTCCATCGTGGAAATGTATGTTGTAGTGAAGGATGGATTGGTTGCGGTTGTTAATATATTGATATGATAGTACATTCGAAGTAAAGTTTAACATGTTCCTATGTGTTTCTCGTCCAAACACGGTCGTATCTAAACCAAATTATGCTGCCGTTAGAATATACAATTCGCTCGGTAAGCGTTAAAAAGGACAAGAGGACGTACTTACTTGCTAGGAATCCCACGATGAGCCCTTAACACTGTGTAATTAACCTTGGTCTGCTGGAGGGATTCAGACGCTAGATCAGGAAGGATGAGCGTGTCAGCGCGTTAACCACTAGGCTAATCTGAGTTCGTTTTCTTTATGAACGAAATGTAACACTTATGCATAAAGAATAGACATATACCCGCAACATCGTTCTTCAACTGTATTGAGCAATGTAATCCCAACAATATACCGAAGCCTTGAACAAATAGGCATTCTTCAGCTCAACGAAATAAAAGAGTGCTTCAAAATGAATTTTAGTGTTTACACATTATATTTAGAGACATCAAACATTGATCGCATTCGAAAATCAACAACAAGTTGCCATATCGCCATACGAAAATGTTTTGTAAACATGTTCTTTTTTCTTAGACAGTCTCACGAAGAAGAAACGCTGCTCCATCAATGAAAATTCGAGTGACCTTATTCTAAAATGCGGTATAGACTGTATAAAACTCGAGGGTGTGACATTATACAGCTGAGCAAATATAATCAATGAGCTAAATGCACAAAAATGTTGCGCGACTGTTGCATCACTTAATTGATCAAAATTCCCTCAATTCCGCATCCGCCACTACTCAACGTGTCGTCATGGGAATCCCACGCTTTTATCGGTACATGTCGGAGCGCTACCCGCTTATCAATCAGCCTATCTCAGACGTGTCTTTATTACCTGAGTTTGACGCTTTTTATCTCGATATGAATGGCATCATACATAACTGTACACACTCAGATTCAGCAGATGACGCACTCAACTCGCTGACTCTTGAAGCGCAGCTCCACGGTATCTTTACGTACCTCGACCGTCTCATCACGCATATTATCAAACCTAAGAAGATCGTATACATTGCTATTGACGGCGTCGCACCGCGCGCCAAGCTCAACCAGCAACGCTCGCGGCGGTTCCGCGCTGGTCTAGAGCGTCAAGAGGCCATAGACAAGGAAAAGCACATGCAAATCAAACTTCAGGACGAGAAAAACGGCACTGTTATGAAACCCACTGCCAGCAAATTTGACTCAAATTGTATCACGCCTGGAACAGAGTTTCTGAGTCAGTTATCGCATCATTTAGTTTATTTTGTCCGACAAAAGATGAAAAATGATCCTTTGTGGGCACGACTTGAGGTCTTCTTCAGTGGCAGTGAAGTGCCTGGAGAGGGAGAGCACAAGATCGTCGAGTTCATTCGTCATCGAAAGATGACAGTCGACTATGAAGCTAATATGCGTCACTGTATGTACGGCAGTGACGCGGATTTGATGCTTTTGGGGCTTATGACTCATGAGCCACATTTTACCCTCGTGCGAGAGACGGTAGTTTGGGGAAGTTTTCACAAAAAGGTCGCAGTTAAGAAGATTGAAGAGCAGCAGTGGCAATTAGTGCACCTAAGTCTGTTTCGAGAGTACTTAATGCTGGAAATGAATGTTCAGCCGCCATTTGATGGCGAACGGATGATTGATGACTTTATTTTGCTGACTTTCTTACTTGGGAATGACTTTATCCCTCATAGTCCGACGCTGGAAATTAGTGAAGATGCAATTCCGTTGTTATTAAAAGTATACCGAGACTTGTTGGAACTACATCAAGGTTGTTATCTGACGCTCAATGGAAAAATTAGAAATGCCAAGTTATTGCAAGAACTTTTTCAGATTATTGGAAACCAAGAAGAAGAGATTTTAGTGAATCGTGCGATGGAAGAAAAGAGACGCTCAGGACGTCGTGGAGGACGACAACAGTCGAAACAGCACGAGGTGGACGCAGCTGAGATGCAAAGTGCTATCATGGCTCTTCGGGATGCTGACGAAGAGACTCTACCACCTTTGGTGAATGATGAAGACATTGATGATGAGGAAGCTGAGCGTTTGTTGCTTGAGGCACTAGACGGTAAGGACGATACCATTTTTTCTCTCGAACTTCAACGCGAAGATCAGAATATTCTTATGCTTGTTGGTAGTGAAAGTTTTCAAGATACAAAGTGGAATTACTACGAACGAAAGTATAACATTCAACGAGGCAATGATGATGCAAGCAATGACGCACTCGAGCAAGTGAGAAAGTCGTACATAGAGGCCTTGGTGTGGTGTCTTGCTTATTATTTTCAAGGACCTCCATCGTGGGCGTGGTACTATCCTTACCATTATGCACCGATGGTGTCTGATCTTACAAATATCGAGAATATGATCACCTCAGTAACGTTCGACGATGATCCATTAATTGCTGGCCCGTTGTTGCCGTTCGAGCAATTGATGTCAAATTTACCGGCTTCGAGCGCTCACCTTGTACCAGAACCGTACCGCTTCTTAATGGTCTCGCCTTTATCGCCGATCAAACACTTCTATCCTGAGACGTTTGATATCGATATGGAGGGCAAACGCAACGCTTGGGAAGGTGTTAATTTGCTGCCTTTCATTGATGTTGGACTACTTAAACAAGCCATCGCTCAGTACTGTCCCGATTCACGATTAACAGAAGCCGAGAGACGGCGCAACAAGCTGCAGCTTTTGCCTGTCCGAATAGTTCGAGATTTAAATGCTTTAGACACTTTGAAGTCTCCTTTACCCGGTGTTGCGGACTTACAGTACTGCAATACTCGTGTGGAAGACTTCAAGCTTCCTCCTATTCCTGGTGGAGAATTTCAAAGCAAATTAATGGACGGTGTGGTGCTACCGCTTGCTGGCTTTCCATCACTTAACACCGCGTCCCTCGAGACCACACGCATCGCTAGCGTTGGACTTAATTGCTTTGGGATGAGCTCGCGCAAATCTAGTCTCATTCTTCAACTGTCTGCTTCAGGTAGCATAAATGACAGCGATAACACGAATGCTGATAATATCAATCCTCGCGATCTACTAGGCACTTCTGTGCTTGCAAATTGGCCGAATCTTCATGAGGTGCTGGTAGTAGGTATCAGTACGCTGTCTGGAGAATACCGTCTCTCAAAGTCTACTCGTCAGCTCAATAACCATCCAAAAGATCGGACAGAAATCGTCTACACACCGTACGGATCTGATGAAAAAAGCGCGTGGGCATATTATGCACAGATGGAAGCTGTCAAGCTGCTGTCTGGACGAGGTGTCCCTGGTAGTGGAGGAATTGACCTGGGAAAAACTGGTATAACCATCGTCATGCACGTTCTTCCTCTTCAAGGTATGGTATCCAATTCAATTTCTGGCGCCATTGAAAAAAAGTTTGGCGAAACGGAAGCTTTCGTGCCTGCTCAGCTTACGGTTCGTAATCTTAAGCTGCTTGATGCTCGGTTCAAGGAAACAGGCACTTTGCCATTAATTGATCGCTTTCCTATCGATTCCAAGGCACTAATCACATCCGGCAAGTGGCTCGGTTGTACAGCAATCGTACAGTCCATCGATGAACTTCAGCATGCGGTGACTGTTCAAGTTCAAACGATCGATCAGGAGCCGCCGTTTGGCTACGTCATTGCGCAGAAAGTTACGGATCATTATTATCCAGGCAATTTAGTTGCTCAAAAATTGGGCCTTGTCGCGTCAACATTAGGCATTCTAACGGGAAGCGTGTTGGTCAAACCGTTCGGAGTGGACATTGGGCTAAATCTTCGCTACCGCAAGGAGTTACTGCTTCCTGGATATTGTCGACTTGTGAGTCGTGATAGTATTGACTCTGACATTAAAGACGACACAAACATTTGGAGAAAAGGTGATATTGTAAAGATTGTTGGAACACGCAGTATTGATTCAGATTTGAGCTCGTCACGAGCTCAAAATGATAGCATTACTACTTGGGAGTATACTGAGCGTGCAATCCAACTCATTGCATCATACCAAAAAGAATTTCCTGAAGTGGTGCGCAACCTGAGCCAGCTTCCTTTTGCTACCTCGTATCGAGGAAAAGATGTGTTTGGAATAAGTGATTCCAAACAGGTGGCTGTAATGGCAGAAGCTGTCAAGCAATGGATTGAGGAGCAACATTTGGGTGCAAGTGAACATTTTAAGCACATCCCGGTTACTTCTAAGTACATTGCCCTCAACGCTGTCCGCGCAATGGAAGCTGCAGGGACGTTGAGGGTGAAAGAGCGCACTAAGTCCTCCGAGGTACAGCGATGTGCTCCTGTTGTCGAGACAGTCAGGGCCGCAGATCTGTTCCGTCCCAACCCGCTGGTAAATCAAGATCTTACCGGGCATGAAGTCTCACTGCGATCTTCATTAAATAAGGGCGCACCAAATTTAGGAGACCGAGTGATCAACATCAGCGCACGTGGAGTCCCGTTCGGTCATCGTGGCACTGTTGTTGCTACGCACGTGAGCAGCAGATGCGTTGAAGTGCTTTTCGACGAGAGTTTTACAGGCGGTGAACCACTGTATGGTACCTTAAGTCTCGATCGTGGTAAGATTGTGGCGTGGAGCAACCTACTGTGTGTATCGTTTCCTTCTGCGAGCCACTTCCATGCCATGAAGCACAAACCTGCTAGACAATCACAAACGACTATCACTGCCACTCAGCAACGCACGACGGGCGACATTCCAGTTGTCTCCACCAACAACAGTATTAGACCAAAGAAGCTGGCCAACAAGCCATTAGCTGTTACTGTTGCGTCTGCTTCACTGGTTCCACCGCCACCGCCTATCCCCAGCGCTTTGCCATCTCCGCCGAACCCACACAATATCCAAAAGCTGATTCAAAAGTGGAGTTTTGACGGTGAAGTTGCGACCCAAGAAAGCATTTTGATGTCTGCAGAATCAGCACCTTTGGCTTCTAAGCCAAAGGCTAAGGAAGAGCTGGCTCCGTCTGTTGCAGCTCTGTTTTCATCCATTCAAAACGGAACTCCGTCATCCACGCCCACACCAGTGGGTCCAGTAATGAACCTGTTTCCCCATCTATGTGCGCAAACGACTCCAATTGCTCCATCACTGCTCACACCTCCGCTGCCAAAAGGAGCTCCGACACCGCAGTACATGACCCAACAGTCCTCGATGTATCAGCCACCTACGTTTTCTATGCCTGGTCAACAAGCGCATCTAATTCTCATGCCTGACGGTTCGTATGTTCCCATGTATGCTCCGCTTCCTAGTGCGTACATACAATCTCAACCGCCCATGCCGCGTAGTGACGATAGGTATTTGCAAAGTGCAGTACCTTTGTCTAAATATGACAAAAATTTGACTGCCGTCGGTGCATGGAAACAAAAGCCCTCTATTCGTGGTGACAAGCATCGAAAGAACACTTATGCCGCGACCGCCAGCAACATCGCTGTGACCAATGCGAACAAAAATCATAAAGAGTGGAAGCCAAAACAAAAGAGCGCTGCAAAGTCACCGCAGCTATTGCTTCCGGCTCAAGTGATGCGGCATCAAAAGCCTCAGTAAATATAGTATGCTAAAATTTACTACTTCAGTATATAGTACTACTTCAGTACGACATAGTACTCCGATGCAGCATATGATTATTATTCTCAGAACCCAGAGGATATACTTTCTCGTCCTCGATACTCGAAGAATGATGCTTTGCTGAAAGGCGTACCATTTTCACATCTCAATCGAAGGTCAAAGATGTTGGCTACTAAAAAAGGAATTGATGTGGCTACAATTGAGCAATTGCCTCGCGGGATGGCACTTCATGCTGCTCGCACTCCCATCCTTAAAGAAAAATTAATTGTGACATCATTCCCAAAGCAACAGACAAGCACTAGATCGTCGATATCAATTAATGTCACCCTCAACAAAAGTTCCAGCAACGGTTTCATATCTACTGAACCCATTGCCTCCTCGACCAATCGAGCGTTAAATGGTACAGATTTGGCAAGACGGGCTGCTCGTCGCATCAATGTTCAAAAGAAATTGGAGCAAGAGCGGCACGACGAAGAGGAGCGTGCTCGTGTAGCAAAACAGGAACTAGAAGAGTACCGAAAGAATCATGCAGCGCACGCCAAACAACGTCGTCGTGCCGAAATTTACGCGCTCAACGCACTTTTGCGGCAGCTGCAACAGGACAAAATCATGCAGTATTTAACTGCACAGAAACAACTTCTTGAAGCTGGTAACGATCCGGGATTGGCTTGCATGGCCGCGACTCAGGTCCAAACTATTGGTGTGTAGAGATAGATACTGTAAATTAATAATATAATCTTAAATTTCCAAAATATCAACAAAAGGTGTGATTCAAGGTAATAAAATATCTGCAAAATTGCGTTACAATGTTTTCTTGTAAGATTGATGGCAAATGCACATCTTGACAAATACAGCGCTAACGGCACCTTGAGAGCTCATACATTGGCATAAGAATTCCTATAGGGCAATATGATTTCCAACAGCAGCCTTGCTGCTGTTGGAAATCATATTGCCCTTTTCTCTGTTTGGACTAGGGAAATTAAGATGGCCATGAATCTTTTCCAGACGAAGCATGAGTTCATCATGCTAGCATTCTCCATGATAGGTGCCTTTTAGGCGCGGTATATATGTACAAGATGCATTTTAAACATGGGAAGAATTAACTGTCGGATGTCGCAGATGTAACGGGGTTACACGTACCCTTCAATGAAAAACGGTTTGACCGACCAGACATGGATTATGTGACCGACCATAGACGTGGATTATGTGACCGACCATAGGTGTAGATTACACTAGTTGGTGTAAGCACATAATGGTATGGATATACCGTAACAAGAAGTAACTTTGCCTGTAGTAATGCAGATTCATTAGGTTTTGCTATATTGATATACTACTATGTTAATTACGATGACGTAGGCTTTTAGATATTGGCGGCTCTGCCACAGCTAGAACAATTAAATACAGTTTTCAATTCTGAACGTAAGAGCGTCTTTACATTGGTTAGGGCTTTAAGTACTCTTGGAAGAAGCGGTTTGCGAGCCGCAACACTCCTACTGGTATTTGTAAAGAATAGAAGGTCGGTGAAATTAGCTGAGCTTCCTATAAGCAAAGAGCTACGGCAGCCCCGCTGCAGTTGGTAGCACTCGTAGTCAATCTACGCCTGAGTCGTTATGACTGATCCTGTGTGAGGAAGGAGCAATACTCCTATTTGTCACTGGGCATGCAGGACGGGATTTAATAGCTGATGTCCCTGTTTGGCCCCGAGGACGTGAAACACCTTGTTTCTCCTAAGGCCGAGCAAAAAAACGCGCGTCGATAGGCATTTTCGAGCTATGAAAATGCTCTGCTCGAGTACCTACAGCAGAAGCTGTCTGCAGCGGGTCTGCTCTAGCTCCTTGTATAGAGGAAGCTAAGCAAAGGCCGCCGACCTAACGTTCTTTCCAAGAACCAGTTCAAGTGTAGCGGATCGCAATCCACTACTTCTAAGTATTAAAGCCTTAACAAAGGCAAACGAACACTTCTATTCAAAAACGAAACTGAATTGTAGTTGCGGCAGACCCGCCAATATCTAAAACCTTAAGTTTTTCTTATTAAAATAGTAAAACCTAATTAATGTAATATGTATTACAGCTGGCAATCCTGCCACATTGTTACGGTGTAGCCACTCTACTGTGTGACTACACTAACTGTGCGACCTGCCCTCACTTACATATAACCCAGGGGCGCCCGCGGGAAAAGCCCTTGTCTTCTTCTGCACGGGGTGCATCTCGGGGCAGTACGTCCGCGGCTTCACGGGTAGCATATCCCAAGCCCTCGGCGACTGTGCGCAACACACTACGCCCACCCCGGGGGGCGACAGATTTTCTCGTCAAGGAGTTGGAAAAAGTCGACAACGAGTCGGACACTTCTTTCACAGCCTGGGACGACGAGGAGGATGAAGTGCACCAACGGCCTGACGTGAGCTCAGCTCAAATCTTCCGGACACCATGTTAGTTACCTGACCTCTCGGCCTCTCGGCTTCCGGGAAAAGTGATATTATTGCCAATCGCCTTGACGAGACACAGGAGCAGCAATTGGAGGCTGCCCACAAGTGGGGCTCGCCTGCGCTCGTATCCATGTTCGGTTTAGAACCTCGTGTGATATACGGCTTCAGCTCGGCTGACCCCGCTACTGAAGTGAAAGACGCGATCGCTCGATCGTTAGGCGTCTACGTTGTCGGGACTCCAGCCACTACATAAGCTGAGCTTGATCAGCGGAAAGCTCTGCGAGCTCGCTTTTTGGTACCCCAAGAGATCTTAATGGATCGGTACCGCGCACAATGTCGAACTCAAAATAGAGGTGCTCCTGTTCCCTCAATACAGTCTATTCTTGTGGTGCTCGCCCCTTGCAAACCACTGCAGATGACGATAAACTCTTTGAGCGATGGGTGCAGCGGCACCAGAAACACGCTTTGCTGTCTACGTAACAGCGAAGCCTCAAGAAAGTGAACGTACGCATTGAGCGCCAACTTAGATTTGGGTTTGCCAAACTCCAGGCGCAACGCCGACTATCTGCGTATTGTCACCCTACGACATATGGACACGTCATATAACTCTTCCGTGAGCTCTGTGGTTTCTAACACAGGTGAGTCTACATCTACAGCAGATCAGGACCATAGATTGAGCTCAGCTCATGACCCTTCGGCTTCCTTGGCTACTGGCAAGGACCGCTGTGCGCAAGACAGCGCAAAGCGTCATGATCCTTCTGATCACAAGCGTCTACAACGTCTGGGCAGTCTTGCCGGAGAGGCGCCTCAAACACCATCAAGTTCTCGAAGTTTGGGTATACCCGCCACTTCACAACATGTTGGGTTAGACCCTGTCGAGGGTGTCGACCCACAAGGCGTTTCACGTGGTAGTGGATGCCACCATTCTCATCGAGACGAGTCGGCAGCGGCGATGACGACTTGGTCACCGTCCGGTGCCTCGCGATGCTTCTCGAGTTTTGGAGGACAAAGTCCGTCTTCATCGGCACTCTGCCGAGCATCTTCAACGTTGCCTACCGCTGTGCGTGAGACCTCGAGAGTCTGGAGCACTTTGTGCACCGAATGCCTCATTTTGAGGATTATTTGCTCTGTCGGAGCGGCTCCTAGCCCTCGAGCAGGCGAATACGTGACTTCGTGCGACGTTGGAAACGGAAATTGTCGCGCTCCGTGCTCAGAACCAGTTGCTGGTTTAGCATCCGAATGGCCGGACGCCCTTGAGGGCCGCCCCTGCGCCAACGCCTTCGCGTTCACTTGCGCGGATCCCGGCACGGCTTAAGTAAGTATTCATAAACACCGGATTGGTGCTCATCCTTCGTGGAAGGCTCAGCGTATACGCTAAGACTCCGCTTGGTCACGATTCTAAAGGGTCCAATAAACCCTGGACGGATCTTTAGCTTAAAGACAGCAGAAACTGCATGTGTAGGAAGGCATTAAATATCTGATACAATCAGGTCTCCGGCCTCAATATTTCTTTTTCCTGTTCGTCTGCAACATTTTTTTTGCATGTCTTGACTTTCAGCTATCGCATCGCGAGCGTGTCGTCACACTTTAGACAGGATGTCGTCGACTTCCTTACGGACATAGAGGGGGCTGACATCAGCTAGCCGTTCGGCTACCCCCCCCCAAGTCCTAACCCATGGAATGGTGGTGTCAGCGAGACGCGAGGATTAAAAAGCCCTTTGACACGTAGAACGGCGTGTAGCCGGCAAATGAATGCAGTGCATTGTTCAATACAAACTCTACGAGTGACATTATAGCTCTACAATGCTTCGGCGACTCAGCGCGCAGACACTGCGAAGAACATCTTCAACGACGTGATATATTCGCTCAGTCTGACTATCGACCTGCGGATGGTGCGTTGCTGACATAGTCAATTTGGAGCTCAGCACCAGGAAGTGTGTAGTATGAAATTTCCCAGTGATGCGCAGGTCTCTATCAGAGACAATCGGCCCAAGGAGTCCATGTTGTCGAAATCCACGATCCCCAAACAGCGTCGCTGTACCCACACCGTCGATGGTGTCCGGCACTGCCGCAAGATGAGCCATCTTGCCGAAATAGTCCACAAAGACCACTACACCCATGTTGCCCGCCGATTTCTTCGGCAGGCCAAACACATAGTCCAGACCCATGGACTGCAAACACCCAAAGGGTACCGGTAGACCGGCCAACAGCGCCGCCGCATTCGGAGAGAGTTTCGCCCTCTGACACGTCCTACATGTGTCCTCGTCCAGTTGTACAGCTAAAGCCATCAGTAGTGGTAACTCAAAGAGCTGTAGGTCTCTCACGACCAAGATGACCACTGAGTGGTGTGTCGTGGGCCTCATAGAGGATACGGTACTTTAAATCCTCATCGTGAGGAACCCCAATTCGTGGCGTATCCGTTGAATCGTTGCTTTGATAAAGCAACCCGTAATTCAACGAATATCGGTGTAACCGAGCGCGTAGTCGTGATGATAACTTCTTGTCCTAGTTTTCAAACTCATTGATCTTGAAAACCTGTAGCAACCCTACACACGTACCATCACCCGCGTATGAGGTGTGGGACAAATCTGTCACTGACGACGTCATCGTCGTGACATGTGCAAACTTATAATCCGGTCTCCGTGGCAACCATCCACCAAAGCATTCTGCTTTCCTGGCTTGTACTTCACCTCGAAATTATATTCTGCAAAAAAGGAAAGCCACTCTGCGAGCAGTAGGCGACTGAGTCGCAGTGCCTAATGGCGCATGATCTGTGTAGATCACAAACGGCTTTGAGCCAAGCAGATGCACCCTGAACTTGACAAGTGAATGCTACATCGCAAGTAATTCCTTTTCGTGAACTGGGTAGTTCTTCTCCGCAGCCTTAAGCTGGCGAGATTTAAATGCGATCACTTGATCGAACCCTTCGACGTTTGCTTGCAGCAGTGCACAGCCGATGGCAAAGTCTGAAGCGTCACAGACGACACCAAAAGGACGATTCGGGTCCGGAAACGCCAGTATTGGTGCATATAGAAGGCTGTCTTGACTCTGTCAAAAGCCTCCTGACACTCGGTGTCCCAACACCATTCCTTATCCTTCTTCAAAAGATTCGACAATGGCCGTGCAATTTCGCATAGTTTGTGCTATACTTGTGCAAGTAAGTGGCGAGGCCAAGTCACTTGCGCAATTCCTTTTGGTTCTATGGACCCGGCCAGTCCACAATGGCCTTGACCTTAGCGGGACCCGCTCGAAGGCCACGTTTCCCAATGAAGCACCCTAAAAA